TCAGTGATTCACTTAAAGCAACAGGTAATATGCGGGCTGGGGTGTGTAAATGACCACCTCCTACTTAAATACGGTTAGTGGTGATGATGCAATCAAAATGAAGCATGCCTACCAGAAAAACTCGCCTCAGAGGGAGAGGAGGAGAAGAGAGGTACCACTTTCAGCACCTCAGGAGAGTCAGACAGCACTGCCGAGGATGCAGCTATTTCGACATGACCGCTCACACTATACAGGACGGCGCAAACATTCCGACGCCACATCTTACAGCGTCGTTGAAGCGAAGCACAGAGGAGAAGAGATAGGGGAGTCGTGGTTTAGACAAGTGGATCGAGACGGACAGGTAAGCTGGTAGACAAAGAAATAAATAACCAGGCAGGCAGGTCCATGAACCGAAAACGAAGCAAATCTCCCAACCTCTGCCTGCCTATCCACCTAAACCCCAATAACTAGCCAAATGACCAAACAAATGTGGCGGACGAAAAGTGTGTAAATTAATAAGTGAAACAGTGCTTGCCAGTGAACCAAAATGGAAAAGGAATCAAGCCCGCACCAATGCCAGCCAACGGGACTCGTTAGTCAACCCTCGGTTGCACGGCAAAACAATTAATAATTATAACAATAAAGTCAAGGCTAATGACTACTCCGACTAGAGAGAGGGAGGTAGGGCGGAGACTACGCAGGGACTACTACATTACCAAACCACTGCAAGTAATCATGTCTAGGCGATTCCTGTGTCGTCTCCAAAGTAACCGCCATAGCAATAAATATCCATTGGGCACCTCATTTATGAGTATTTCAGAAGCAGTCATGCCAAAAAGCTTCTCGGCATGACACCAATAAATGCATATCGTCCGATGGTTTAACCGAAGAGCAAGCACTAAACAGAGTCAGTTTCAAACAAAGGAGTCTTTTGTGTCCACTCTCCTGCCTCCTTTATCAACAAAATAAGGCTAGCGAACGAAATGGATATAATTTTCCGACATAAAATTGCACCAGGTCTCAAAGCAGCACACGAAATTTGAAAGGAGGACGAAGGTTTTCATCAAATCCGCAAAACAATAAGAAGACGTAGAGCAGCGGAAAACTGCCTAATCATAAGTGCGTTGAACAGAAAATGCTGACTTAGGAGGAAGAAGGATAAGAAGGGGGACGCTTATTCGGAGGTGAAAATTATCATCCATCAAAGACTGCTATGCCAATTTTGAAG